ACATTGACAAATATACACGGCAAACTGTTTAAACGTTGTTAAGGCGTCAGCAAACTTCATTTCTTTTATAAATGTTACGAACTTGTTCAGTCGGAACTAATTGATGACAGATGTTGTGTTTTGGCGAGAGCTTAAAAAATAATTGGCTCGTGGCCGAGGAAAATTTAATTGATTTGCGGTAGCTATATACGAAACACATAACGGTATATTTTTGTGTCAGAAACTGGCGATCATTTTCTGGACTAATAACAACAGGTTTGCCTCAAATGTAAATTTTTTTCAATTGAAAAGATGTGATTAAGTCGACGTAAAAACAGAAAAATTCAATTTTCACCAGAAAATACGTCAAGTAAGCTTATGTTGATTGATTCACATCTGCAAATGGACACGATCGCGTTCAATGCCAGTTTTTATTACAACACTTCTTTTTAACTTCACTACTTGTTTGTCTGTCTGTATGCTACAAATCTTATAATCGAAATTTAACACACTTCTACTTATCCTATCGATCTGAAATTTTGCACACTTGCGTTAAGTTTGAGACAATGCATGAATCAAATGATAATATAAATGATTTTAAAAAAATATTTTTTTAATATTAAAAATATTAAAAAAATAATTTTATCAGCTACACATCTTATAACTGATATTTGACACACTTTTACCCACTTTTACCTGTCCAATTGATCTGAAATTTTGCACACAGTCGAACAATAAACTACATCCGCAAAAATGAGTTTCTCATGGGTCAACCTTATACTAGTTCAACCATGACTATGATGACGTTTGCTCCGCCGAAACGTATATTTCAGCGCGGGTCGTATTTTTTTCATTCAGATAGTTTGTTAACTTCCTGTCCTTGTTAGATTACCTCACTTGAAAATTTTATGATATATTTGTCTAATACGCAAATAAAAATTAAGAGTTGTTACTTTTAAATTAATTGTAAATGTGTATTGATGACCTTACCCGTGTGTTACTTAATGATGACCTCACCCTTAAATGACCTCACTCAGGTCATGTGTCACACATGTATATGACAACAGCTGCTGATTTTTAAGAATTTCATAGCCGCCGGCAAACACAACTTATTTGACGCTGTTGATTTTTAGATCGTTCAAGAGCAGTTATTTGAGGAAGTTTTTCGATCTCTCCTAACTGGCTAGATTTCTCTTCATAGTTTTTACAAATAACAGGTGATTACTTGAATTGCCGCAGTTGTGTCAATGACGTAATGATCTTCCTCAACATGTACGGTTCCTCTTCATATATTTTTTTCGTATGTAGGTCTGTAATAGCTAACCAAGCATCGAGAGTCAAGACGGAAGGACAGAGCAGGTATGTCAACTTCAGTCTGCAGGGAAACAATGCCAATCGTTCGTGGCGCACCAAAGTTTAGGATCAAAAAGAATTATCCGTTAAATCCAACTTGGCAGGAAATTTCTGTAAAGCAGGCGTATAAAGGGTTGATTCATCATCAAGTTTTGCTAGAATGTTGGCATAACAAAAATATGAAGGAAATACCTCGAAGCGTCCCAGTAATGGAGATGACATGTCACCATGTGCTTGAAGTAGTTCATCCTGCGAATAATGTGACACACATTAAGGTGCTTGCACACGGGGACAGTGCAGGCGGCAAGTAGATCTGGCAAATGTCGGCCGCTTGGTGACTATCCGGCGAGTAAGCTTATTAGACACGAGGACAGTATAATGTGCCGATATCTTCTCATTCGCGCCCGCCAGTGCGTCGTTAGAACCCGTCCGTCGAATGAGGTCTGTGAAAATGGATAGTGGGATCACCTTCAGTAACTCGAGCCTGTAAGTTGTTGTTAGACTCTTTATTCTAGCCCTTAAAAATGCAACGTCGGGAACAACTAAACCCTGACTAATAAAGTAATAAGGTCTTCTTTCAGTTTCAAAATGCTCGTTTCTCTCAACATTTTGTTGGAGTAACCAGCATGGCGAACATTCCACATTAGTTCATATTTTTGGAATATTTCAAAGAACAATTGAACATAGTCTGGACTCCACTTTGTTAGGTTCTTCTTAGAACCATTCTCGTTCGAAAGAGCCAAGATTCACTTGACCCAAGATGCTTTACAAGAACGGTACAGATGCTCTCACCATGGCTGAATCAGCTCAACTGGCCGCTTGTCGGTTCGGCGAAGAAAACAACACATCGTTGTCCCTCTCAGCCGCGTCTCGGGCAAATGCCACTGAAGCGGCTGAACCCCTCCCTATACACGAGGCCAATAGTGTGGACAGTTCAAGCTGCAGATCAACTGGCGGCCAGTACTGTCCCCGTGTATAGGCACCTATAACAAGCTGGTGACATAAAGTCAAAAACTTGCATTAAAGATCGCGTCAATTACTTAGTTCTGGGATGAATTCGCGGTCACATCGCAAACCTGTAAAATGTTTGCATTTCTCCAAGTTGCGATAAATGCATTTCGGTTTAAATGACGGCTAATTTAAACGTTTATTTGACTGCAACATCACTGCTGCCCTCATTTCAGTGGTAAAGTTGATAGATCAAATCAAACGCAATTATTGTGTCAAATTTTGAAACATGACTATGAAGGTCAAAATTAAAATGGTTCCGAAACCTTGTGTTTTTTAATGGCAGAACGAAGCGTTTCAATTAACGTCTTGTACACGACCACACGACGCTCTATCGATCGCGTCTCCATAGCTACTGAAATTGCTGTCTCTAGACGAGCAGATACCCTCACTCTTAACCTCTCATGCAATAAGTCCGGCAGCTATCTCAAACAGTCGTCAGTTATGGAAAGATCAGGTCAGATCGCTTGTGGAATCAAGTCACGAAAAGTACGGGAATCGGCAACAGACCATGGGCCTACTTATTCGGTGCCGACACTTTTATTCTAATATAATTCCCACCTCACATGCTGTGCCCTTCAAATCATCCATACTTCCCTACCGGACTCTGTCGGACTTGCAAGAAGAGAGCTATTTTTTACTATAATCTTTAGATGCAGGCAAAGAATACACAAGATGGAGCATAGTGTTCTGTACATATTCATGTACGTGGCACACAACCTAACATAGCACTCACGTGTAAATGATACCAGTAATGTGTGCAATTATCGCCATATACAGAGTTTAAGCGAATAAAATTGTTTGAAGCGCCTGACATAAATGGCTGTTAGCGTTAAAAATATTACACTTCACATATAGACACGAAACGACATTGAGGATAAAATCAGACTGTAATTGGTATTTCTACAAATACAAAAATTAAAGACAAATTACCATAAACAAAATTCCTGTCTACCATGCAGCAATGACGAGCGGCTGGCCTTACAATGATCTGGTACTGAGTATGCAATTGAACACTCTGCTAGTTGGATGACAAACTACATTGTGTTGAAATACTGTGAAAGAATATGCGTTATTTACACGAAAAAAATAACTTAGATTTTAAAGAAAATATCTGAAATAATTAGCAGAAAATTGACTGTTCAGATTAAAAAATAATCTCTAGACGTACGGCAAATGAAATCAGAAACTTAAACCGAAGATTAGCCAGGCTGATAAGAAGTTCAAGAATGGAGTCACTCATTGAGCATAGAAAACATATAGTAACCTGTCTCGATCTTAAATGTGGAACAACTAATGTAGCGCTAATATGATTGATAAGAGAATAAACAGCGGCTAGTGTACATAAGCGATGAAGTAGATAAATATACGATGATGAAGGCACAGAGCGCTTACTCAAAATCAGTTCAATACACTAATATCAGGGATCATTCACAACATCAGAATTGACTCACTGAATTGGCGACACAATAGTATTTTCCGTGCACTTTATGGAATACACAGTCAACAAGAACAATGGTTCTGCTAGTATTAACACCTTTTTTCGACATCTAAACCCTGGAAAAGTCAAACATTGTGGGTAAGACGAACGTACATTCTATTTTTCATGCCTGGTTCGGTACAACGATAATTTGACAAAAGAAAGAATCACTTGACAGAGTTCATAGACTTATATTTTATATTTAGACATCTAGACACACCATAAGTTCCATCCAGGAAAGAAGAAGATGATGGAAGAAAAGGTTACACACAAAATGGAGCCAGCTCCAAACTACACTTAGGCACAAATTTATAGAAGACGTTTCCCACAAAACCTATAATACATCATAGAATGAGATTAATTCACACGATAAGCTTTATAAAGTTAGAAGATATAGATATTCTCCGATGATACAAGGTTACGAAGGAACTCTACTCACTAAAATGTCTGTCATTAACGATCGTCTAAATAACAAATGCTTAACATCAACAATCTATCTACGAGTAGAAATTCAATTGAGTTGAAGAATATAGAAAATCTGATATTAATTAAGTACCACAAATAACTACTCATTAGGTGCAACCCCAGACTATTGAAGGACGTGATAGAAAAAGGTTACTTGTCATTGCAGTTGATCGCCGACTGCATGCAAGTAGACAATTCGCCTTTTTTCATTATGTGTACAGATTCATGAACAACACAAAATAGAAATTTTATCAATCATAAACTTTGCCATACACGTATTCGTAACTATGTTCCTAACCCACGTGTAGGAACAACACATAGCAGGTGTGGGAACCCACGACGAGTAGCGAGTGTGGAACAAGAATAAGTAGAGGGAAAACCCCTACCATTAATGCCGTCACTAAAAAATTAACTGCAACTGGAAAGAGTTAAAAAAGTGCTCCTAATTTGGCATTGTCTATACTCGTATAATATTGCACAGGAAAAGTTAGAAGCACATTATTGTTAATTAATTAAGTAAATTATAATCACTTCATATTCCAACGCGGTGTAGCGCTCCTATAGCTACAATATGTAAAAAAACCTGCGTCACATACGAATGAATAACTTTGGCATGGTAAATCAGTGCGCAGCGGAGTTGCTAAACTCGTGCGCTTGCAGTGGCTTGTTCGTTAACAAATACATACTAACTCACTAACAAATTAAGTCTGAAGTTAACATCGATATTGTCGACCAGAATTCATCTACCACCGGGGCGAATCTGGCCGTAAAATGCAGAACCGCAAGCTCTTGCGCTGCTCGAAGGCGACATACAAACACCGTCACTCTCATCAACAACCAGAAAGATTACATGGTACGAGAAAAAAAATGAGGGCGAGAAGAAATGAAGTTTTGTTTTATTCATTTTGAGTGCAAATTCAGTCTAATCTAGTCCATTTACCTACGCATAACAACGTCGAGAATAAAATTGCTGGCGGCTCTCAAGAAGACACTGAAAGTCGGAGACATCAGGTAACATGTGTTCAGCTACGCCTGCATAGAAGTAACATCACATCAAAGCTTTGCAGGATCAGCCACGGTAAGTATCATTTAAGTGGTTTGTACGGCAACTACTTGAGACGTATGCGAGTGCTACGTACTCGTACTGTATCTACACATTATAGGATACACGTAACAACAAATCCCTCATACAAAGAACTGAGCAAACACTGTACGAAATAACGGCGAAAAAACTGTCTGACCGGCCACCAGGTGAAAATAAACCGTTTCCCCGTTTTTCACGAATGTGAATTCTTGTGTTACATTAGAAAAACGGCGACATAGAGTTTAATTTCCCGGGCAGGCCGGTCACTAAAATACGCGTCAGGCCGTTCTACGTTTTCGAACAGTGCGACCATATCACCCTGACAATGCTACCTCGATCTTTCTGAAAATTAGGCAACGGAAATAATCTGTTGGAACAGATAAAGTCAACTTCAAACTATCGTTTCAAAAAGAATTCAATCCAGTTTACTATAGGATGCTGACTTGCTGAGGCAATTTACGCAGTGAATGTATCATTTGTGTTGCATTTAAATAGATCAATATTCCTGTGATTGAACAGAGCATTGATATATGCGCACTCCAACGCAGCTAGATTGAAAGTTTCATTTTGGCACTAACATATTTGTTAATATTCTGAAGAACACACCTCGATTGAAATCAGTATACAATCATCCAAAAAACATTTCACTGTAAATGTTAAAGTAACAATTAAAAAATTACGGCTGTTGCCGGCTTAAGGGACACAAGATTTCGCGATGACTTTCCGTGAAGTGGTACAATTTGCACCAAGAATATCTATTTATCATTAATTTCACTAGTGTAATAACACTTCGTCAACAACGTTGAGTAGCTTAATTAGAAAGGTACATTGATAGAAAGAGATTGGCAAGATAACAGCTATTAAATTATTACATTATGAATATTTATACACAGTAATAACAATTTGAAAAGAGCACCGAAACGTGGCTCAGTCCCAAAATTGTCTTCTAGCCTATTGATTGTTTTGGATAGTATCTTGATACAATGGTTCAATAGCATATAGTGCTGTATGTCTAGCATTAGTTAAAACGTAAAGTTACTTATATGGCATCATAGGTAATCATAAGTTGGGTCGTAACAATGCTAGTGTCCAGTGTCGGTCATATTTGCAAGACGTATACGCGCAGCACAGAGAAGAAGAAATCCACTGACAAGCGTCAATGACGTGGAGGGTGAAACTAGCACAATAATAGTAAGAGTGATAAATTAAAGACAATAATCATAAGAGTGATAAATTAGAGACAATAATTGTAAGAGTGATAAATTAAAGAATTGCTCGTGAAATAAGGAACCATTGCCGCGGTTTTACTTTGTCTTCGAAGGCTTCATTCATATGGAATAAGGATCTTCATAAGCGGCAATAGTGAATAAATGCGGGACTGAAAGATTTTATTTGTCTACTCAAAAAAAAAAAAAAAAAACATTCAAAGCAATAAATGATTTGCTGCTAAAAATTATGTGAACGGCTTATGCATGCCACTTACATATATCGTAAATTTGGTAATTTATTCCGATACAGCAACTAAATAATTGTTAATAAATGGTAAGAAATTAGAACATGGCACGCATTTTCCGGAAACGTCTTAGTATCATTAAATAATAGCATTGTTCGTGCATGACATTAATTGCAAAACTATGGGAGCAAGGAACCACTACTTTGTACGAAGTTCTAATATATTTAGGTACCTTGGATTACGTCTATATAAGCATGAAATGCTTCGGTCAAATGAAAGCCATTTTCTCAGGAAATAATACAGATGTGAGTTGGAAGATTCTCGTCTATCAAGAATAAATAAACTATCCCCGAGCTAATATCAGTTTGCTCTCTTACTCTTGGGTTTCGACGCTCAGAATCGCATAAAATACGTAATTTTTTCAAAAATTTTAATAACAATAATCCTGAGCAAATAGTAACCCATAGAAAAATTTAATAATTAAATTTTGAACTGTAGGTAATGAAAGCTGAAGCGGTTGGTAACTGGATGTAGAATGGTAATTAGCATCAGTGATGAGAGCGATAAATAAATGTGCTGCTTTGTACTCAAAAAACCTAAGCTACGTAAGTTTGGCCACGATGTTTGATTTAAAAAATGCTTTAGCACTACGATAGTTGGCATCATCGAATTAAATCAACTTCTCATTCGTCAAATTAACAAATGACATGCAAATGTCAGAAATATTATTACAGTAAAACTTTTTTATTTAAAACAGCCGCTTAAAAAAATAAAAATATCTTCTGTTGGAGGCTTTATTCATCCGTCATCAGTGAAAGTTGTCTTAGAAATGAAAAAATCCTTGGAAGCTCCTGCCTATCATTCAAACCTAATTAGAGGCCATCAAAAATCATTTAAAATGTTGAAAGTCATGTAGGCATTTTAATCATTGTCTTTTCGAGTGAACGACGACGTTAAGTAATCCGTTCATGGCACATAAATATACGGAGACAAGATGGCATTTAAAAACATACACTGTAAATATAAAGTTGCAGCACCAGGGCGAAAGCATACCTGAAGGAGGACCAGCAGAAATGGTCTTCTAAATGCAATGGTTGATATGAAGACGAAGGCTAAAATTCGGTTGAGTAAATCAATTCAACCCCAACTGTTTTCTACTTCCCGTTTCTACAGGAATGAAACTAACTTTAGAATACAGCAAATGAAGAAACAAATAATTGCACCAGAAGATACACAAAAAAGTTTATTCTACACAAACTCCAGACTACATTGCATGTCTAGACGCTCAATTTACATAAAATGCAAGAACACTGTGCAAGGCTTTACTAAAAAGAACTAAGAGTGCTGAATTTAAAGCACGAATCGCCCACATAAGCAAAGTTAAAAACATTGTTATTGAAGACGACTTGGAAAACACGTTGATATTATCTCTATACTAAGAGACAACTTACCATACTTAGGCTTCTGATAGTAAAAAATTATTCAAGAATAATTATTAAATAGTTTAAAGTGTGCTCAGTTCTCGACACTAATGATCATTGAGTTAATCATCACAGCGAGGTAAGTTAACTAGTGTGATGATTACAGCAGTAAATCATCATCTATTTATCATTGTGTAGCACGAGCATTCATCAGTTTGGTGTTAATTCTTTGTACGTTCACAAGATTTTCCTCTTGCTACTTAACACACTTCAGTTTATGCTTCAGTTGAAACCTTTGAGCTTATAATAAAGATTAGTTTGATACGATGTAAGAACATTAAGAATAGTCATTAAAGGATCTTAAACATTCAGTGAAATTTCACACGTGCCTTCACCGCGCGTCGATGACTGCGTATTCATTAGTAACACCAAAACAGAGCTGAACAAGGCGTCATATTATGAAAAATAGTTAGTTAGAAGTCCGTGACTCGGTCAGCCAATCACTGACGGCTTTTCTAGCTAAACCCACCAATCACAAACGCGAAATCAGCCGCCACGCGTACTTAGTCAGCTTCGTGTACCTAGGTCGCTCCGTGAACGTTAAGCGAGTTTCGACAGTACGCCTCCTGTACGAGAAGTTAGTTCGAAAAACCCCAGTTTCGCAGTTCTTATTCTTTTTTATCGGGGGTTGTGCGGGGATCGAGGGGTTCGAGTTCCTCTTCCTCCTCCTTGAGGGGAGTTGTGGCGGTGCCACCAGAGGGAGGACAGTTGGCACTCTGGCACTCCTGTTCTTCCCTCTGCCGCTCCTGCCAGTAGTCGTAGTTTGAGCGCAGGTGCGCCATGCACTCGGGGATGTCCGCGAGGGCTGCCAATGTTAACAAAAATGTTTAATTATTTAATTATTTGAAATTACTGGAAAAAACAACATGCGGTTTAAGATACGCTACAACTGCATCGGTGTCGTTCCACTGATGGAAGCTTTGCTGATGTGATGGTATACCAGAGCGCGTATTCAAATGATGAAAACTATTGATAATTCTTTAAAATTGCATAAAAAGACTAAGAGGTTGCACATACGCAACAGCTGCTTCGGTTTCGTTCCACTGATGCAAGCCTAGGTGACTTAAGATGCCAATGAGTTCCGCTGACTAAAGATATTAGAATAAGTTTAAAAACACAAAGATAATGATCGATAAAAACAGGCTATATAATGAAATATTCAAAATAATATTGCGTTCTTACGGACTCAATCGCATAGTTATTTAAAAATGAATAAATTTGCATAGTGGATACTACTCAATCAGTAAGCGTCTGATTTTATCCAGCTAATTTCTAAGTACCATCCGGCCATATGTTCTATAAACTCAGGTTCAGTATAACCTGCTCATCCCTTATGTATATCAGAGACAGGAAGTTTAGCTGATCAGTTCGCACTCAGATTTTAAAAGCAAAGACAACGAGAAGTAAATTCATTATATATTCACTGAAAACGTTTCGGAAACCAGTTCCATTATAAGCTCCATCCACGTTTTCAATGACGATTTGGTGAATTTGCTTGCCATTTGCTTAGCTTTTAAATTTTTGCTGAAATTGCAATTAATAATTTCACACGGATATTTTAAATAATTGTTAATACTTGAGATTTAAAAACACTCGTCACTGACCATCCCAGGCTTCGAACATGTCGGAGATAAAGAAGTCGATGAAGCCGATCTGGGACTTGGGTATAGAGCACGTGGCGCGGTCGAACTGAGGCATCACGATCGGCAAGTTCAGTCGCTTCTCTTCTTGTGTCTACGAAACAAAGTTCATTAAAATTTCATCATAAACTCGAAATTTGTTAACAGAATCTCTGGTAATGCAATGGGAGTGTTCTGGTAATTTAAAAAGTGGCAATGACAGTCGTATGAAAGTTTACTGTACCAATATTGTCAATGTAATAAACTGAAAAATTTTCAGTCGCTTTTCTTCTTGTGTCTACGGAACAAAACTCATCAAAATTTCATCATTAACTAGAAATTTGTTAACAGAACCTCTGGTAATTTAAAAAGTGGCAATGACAGTCGTATGAAAAGTTTACTGTAATAATATTATCACTGAATGCATTGAAATAAATTCCAGCACAACGTGTAATCACGATTCCAACGATACGACCATACACGTTTACCAAAATTTAAAGGCTCTAAAAATGCTCGTAAAAACAGAATTACGCTCGCAAAAAATAGCAAGCACTGAGCATACTACTTGCGAGAATTATTACTAAAAATAGTGAGCAGTAAGAAACATACTAGTGAGAATTATTGCAATATATAATTATTAATATAAATTATTATTACAATATATATAATTATTACTATATATATATAATTATTACTATACAAAAAAATAGCAAGCAGTTAGCAGCCTACCTGAGAGAAGTACTCGTTGGCGATGCGATGGCCCCACTCCCGACAAAGGTTGAGGGGGCGCAGCGGGTTGCTGATGTCAGCACATTTAATCAGCATACGACGCATGATCTGCTGGTTCTCTACCGTGCTCAGCTGGGCCACGTTTAGCGTCTCACCCACCGTCTTGTTAGCATTAAAATATTTATAAATAAACAAATGAATGAATATTCAATTCAAGATTACGATAAATTAATTATCATCTATTAAAAATTTAAATCGATTAAATATATTATCATTAAAATATTTATAAATAAACTAATAAATAATGTTCGATTCAAGAATAGTATAGGCCACGTTTAGCGTCTCACCCACCGTCTTGTTAGCATTAAAATATTTATAAATAAACAAATGAATGAATATTCATTTCAAGATTACGATAAATTAATTATCATCTATTAAAAATTTAAATCGAATAAATATATTATCATTAAAATACTAATAAATAAATGTTCGATTCAAGAATAGTATAGGCCACGTTTGGCGTCTCACCCACCGTCTTGTTAGCATTAGAATATTAATAAATAAACAAATGAATGAATGTTCGATTCAATAATACTATAAATTCGATTAAATATGTTATCCTTAAAATTACAATAAATAAATGAATTCGATTGATTTAAGAATAGAATAAATCTGACTAGAGATGTCATCATTAGAATATTAATTAATAAATAAATGAAAATCGGACAAAAAAGAAAATAAAATATATTAAAAAAGGTGTTTTACCAATTATAATAAATAGATATTATATCAAAGAATACAATAAATTAAATTGAATAGATTATCATGACAATATTATTAAATTAATAAATTTTTGATTAAATATGTTTTAATAATATTAATTAACAAATAAATGTTAGACTGAGAAGCACAGTCTGTTGTGCTTCTGTTGTGCTTTAATCAATATATTTGATTAAAGATTTTATCATTATATTATAATAATTAGAATATGTTTAAAAAATTATTTTCTATTGAAGAATACTTTCTTCTGAACAGTAGTAGTACTGGCATAACAAGATTTTATATCGACATTATAAATAAGGCATTAAAATTTCAAACAGCAGCAACCGCATTCAAATAAAAACATGCAACTACCAAGAATAAGTTAAGCAAGGGAATGCGTTAATTTTAGGTTAAGAAAAAAAGTGGCTCTAAAAATCAGTAAAATACTTACTTATAATCTATATTGAATATTACAGCTAAATAGGTACCTAATATATGTATATTATGTTTACATCAAGAATGTGTCACGAAATTCACAATCAGAGTCAAATAAGATAGGTAAAAATTGTCTGAATCGTAAAATAATGCCCAAATTTAATTGAAATTTACCTCAATGATTGGTCAACCGATACACTCTAAGGATATTGAAACTAACATTTAACTTACTTAACAAGTGATCACATTTTAATATAAAGAAGTGTGAACCACCCGCCACTGAGATGACCGAGAGGTTAAAAGATATATGAACTACAAAAAATAGTATTAGATAAAATCTTACTTCGAAATAACTTAATTTTTCTTCACTGAAACTTGAGTTTATATTTAGTGGGTTCTTAGCAACTAGCGCTGTTATATTAAAACTCGCTTAAATACGCGTAGCTGCCTAAGTATAAGTAGCAGCCAATTTCTCGTCTGTTATTTGTGGTTCTAGCTCAAAATTCCGTCATTTATTGGCTGATGAAGCTACAAACTCATAACCATTTTTAGATATAACGGTTCTTTAATTTTTATAGGAAGCTACTCACCTCGAACTGGCCATTTTCGTCGCGCGTCATTGAGCATTTGTCGAGCATGTTGACGAACTTGCTAAGATGTTCGAAATGTTTGGTCATGTCAGTAGCCAGGACCATGTCGACGACGCTCTTGCGCACCTCTTTGTAGGTGTCGCGGTCAAGTCCTGAGTGAAAGTCATTCGGCAGAGTGAAAGTCATTGTACGGAAGAGAAAAAGTCATTCGGCAATTGGAACACAAATTTTCACACAAGGCGTTGAAAAAACTCATCTTTTTATAATTTTTGTAAATGTAAACGTAGCAGGGTAAACACACAAAAAATAAAAATTGTTTAGCCTTCAAAAAAGTTTTAAACCGGTTCTAAATTAGAGAATTTTACAACGAAGATAACACTTAGTAGCGATATAAATTAAAGAAGAAAAATTTAATATTCAGAGATATTTCCAATGGCTACTAAACTGCGTATAGCCACACAACTTAAAATATCTACTAATTTGGAGGAGGATTTAAACCTAGCGACACGTTGGTCTTACTGACCGTTGTAAATGTTGACCCGAGCATTATTTCCAGATAATTTAATTTTAAACGATGCGCTGGTGTCACTGACCGTTGTAAATGTTGACCCGAGCGTCAGTGTGCGTAAGTTTAAACGAGAGCGCCGAGTGATGAGACTCCAGCACGCTCGTGTCGTTATATAAGATGGCCAGTTCGTTGTTGGTGTTGCATAGGAATGCACTGCAAATAAATTCATTCCCATAAGCCAAAATACGTTTAAAATAAGACATAATTTTATATTGATTAAATTTGATTCGTACAATTTATCGGTGAATTCACCAATTCACATGAGAAAAGCAACCGGCCCAAAGAATGCTCTCCCTTATATGGTAACGTAGACATTCATAAGAAGTACGCAGTGTAACTGTACTCATTAGTAACGGTTTAGCAGTACGCAAATGCTTTGAATTATATTATATATAAAGTAGATAGCCGAGTGTACTTTTACAATTTGTAATTAGGTGTGATAACAATCAGCACTTGAATATTTTCGTTTCAAATAAAGGCCAAAAAATTTGGCACTCTATCACGAAAATACGCATAAAATCCGAAGAATCAGTACCACTAAATGACAGATTATTCTGTCACCCTAAACAATAAAAATTTTTTTTAGAGTGGGCAAGGCTAACTTGTACTTTCAGAACCGCTCGATGACACTTTACTGTCCCCCTGAATAATGTAAAGCAATCTAGAGTAATTAAGACTAACCTATTCTTGCCAGGATGGTCTACGTCGTGCACAACCGCGGCGATCATTGAAGCCGCCACGTCTAGGGGGTCTAGCAGCCCTATAACGCAGAAAAGTTATGTTCAAAAGTAACTTATGTATAAATGGAAATAAAATAATAATTTAATTCACGTATTAAGATGAGAAATTTATCTTGAGATTGAAATTATCCATCGATAGAAATATTGTTTGTCGAGCGACACCATATGTGAGGTCACAAAATAGAGATAAAGATGCTCTAGATGATGAACATATTATTGTTTAAATATTAGAAAGAAACAAGCCGAAATTAATCGTCGATGCTTCCACGAATGAATTTCATCTGATACGTAACAAAATGGATCTAAAGAAACATGGCGTAAACTCTCAATCGAAGAAAATATAACTCAGTGCTCACTGCAGTGAGTGACAGAGAGCGCATTTTCTCGTCGACGAAAACGTGAAGTCACGGACGGACAGACAGACGGACGGACGGACGAACATTGCAAGCATAATAGTGCATTTTTTCCATAAATGAGAAAATGAGCAAAAAAGAAAGTTATAAGCAGATATGAAGACAGATTTCACATAGAAGTAATATTTGCAATAAAATACGCAAACAAACAAATTACAAATCCTACCTGCGATACGAGGTCTCTGCAGGAAGTAGGTAGTAGCATGCAGCACATCTGCAGCGTGGGTGGAGTTGTGGTAAGAGTTGTCTGAGTGGTAGTTAGCCTCGATGAGGGTTAACCAGTTCTGTAGGGTCTGTTCATCGCAATTCAGGGTAGCGGGGACGTTCATTTGGCACATCAGGCTCAGGCCTAGCCATACCAGAGGCCTAGTGTAGAAATGGATTGAGTATAAAAGTTTTTCATGGTTTTAAAACCATAATATAACGGTTTTTCATGGTTTTAAAACCATAAAAACCGTTATATTGCAGTTATCGTGGCTAAGTTAGTAGTTCACAAAATATGAACATTCAAATGGTCACAAAACATTTATATCTCTAAGTTTAGCTTTCAATCTTGACTCAAGCAGGTGATCAGCGTTCATATGTTCACCTTTTTTAGGTGATCGGCGTTCATATGTTCACCTTTTTTAGCTGACTGGCGTTCATATATTCACCTTTCCCTGTTTATTGAATCCACGCACTCACCTTTTCTCTGTGAGTTGCTCAAGACGCAACACGTCGAAGCTCCACGCGTTGTCTGTAGCGAGCAGCTCGACGATCTCGCCAGCCGCGGGCTGCGGTAAACTCGCCAGACTGGGGCGGGTTGACTGGTGTCTGGTGCCGTGGTCACTGCTGCTCCGTCTGCCTGATGTCAGCGGTGTCGGAGAATGCTGTGAATATCAATATATATTTATGAATATATGATTAATATACGTATGGAAATATACATATATTATAGGAATATAATAGAAACTTACACAAAAAAAGTCCTGAAAAACACATTTAGTCTGACGAATAAACTCATCCAAAATAATTCACATTGCCTGAAAAAACTTATTCGGTAAAATACACGTATCCTAAAAAATAGTGCTATCCTGAAAAATACACATTTTTAGGGATATATACATATTCATCATGATAAATGCATTTATCCTGAAAGTTTCAACTTCGTAGAAAATTTCAGCTTCCTCCATAACTTGAGAGAACAATTTTTTGGGAAATGCTTAAACCTGATCAACGAAATAATTGGTAAATAATCTATAACGGCCTATGATAGTCCCAATCGGTTAAATCCTTGGAAAACACAGATAATATCACTGTAGTTCACTAAAGGTAAATACCAGTTTAATCTCTGACTATTCTGAACAGTGAATTACGGGTTAATTTCCACGGAACAAACTATACCGAATGGGTAAATCGTAAAAATTTTAATACAGCTTTCGATGTTACATGGTTCATAATCGTAGATTAATTCAATGGCTTGCATGGTAAACTTGACTTCATTATATGTATATTCAATTGGAAAAAAAGTCGCATGACTCACCGATAGTAGAGCGCCCAACAAGTCTGTCGCCACGGGATCGGCAGACACAGATTTAGGAGCTTCATTGCTGGACACAAGCTGAGGAGAATAAAGTTCTTTGGATCGCAATATCTCGAGGACTTTCTCTAGTGCCTGGGACACGTAGACGGGGGAGTTCTCCTGGGCAGCTGTAATAATGCTGATCACGCGCGTGATTGGGGCCTCGATTGTCATGGCGTGGAGCTTTACTAGTGATTGCCGGCGTGCTGGGTTGTGGGGACCGCCTGTGGAATGTGACATGCAGGAAAATGTCTGTGAATTTGAGGGAATTTAAAAATGGGAAAAAAACGGTCGGACCGGCGTTTTGGTGACCGGTCGCAATGTGAAATAAAGTTATTTCGCCATTTTTTTCAAGTTAACATGTGAAATGCGATCCATCGTGGCCGAATTTCACGGGACGGGCAGCCACTGAAACTACGGTCTGTTTTTTTTTTGATCGGTGTGTGTGCCACACTCAAAAATTGAATAAGTGAATATTGGGAAAATAGTGATCAGCTTTCATCAATTTAGACCTCTGATCTCTCAACTTAGATCTCTGCAAGAGCAGGGATCGGGCAAAGCAATAATTAAGATATTTTGCCGAGCTAAACTGGGTTAAGATGACCCACTCAGGAGCAAAAAGTGAAAACCTATTTCGACCAAGTTTTGCTAATTTCTCTGATGAACACTGGCAGTGGTTTGTACAACTTAACGGTGTTTTAGAACAATATCGTTCAAAAAACCGAAACCAAAATTAAATGAAAACGAATAACCTTCACGTATCAGAATGTGGAGAGTTGTAGGAGGCTTACGAGCAATTGAAACCAAAAGGCAGAAAACACAAATGAAGATAAGAATCTTAGTTATTAAATTGATTTCATTGATTATTAATTATATTGCAGCCTCTTGTTTGAAAACTCAAGTTTAGGGATGAATCATAATGCGAGATTAAGAAAAAAAGTACATTAAGAGCAGCAAAGTTTTAGATAGCTGAGATTAAGATAAATAAAACATTTTTATATGACTTTTGAATGTGAAAATTACATAGAAAGATTTTGTTCGAGCGAAAAATGCATGTCTGTCTTCAATGAAATGAGAAAAAACACAACAAAAACGGATTAACTTCTTTTAAATACGTGCTTCACATGTCTATTGCTTTTTATACATAAAAAATATAAATCAAATAAATAGGAGCATAAACTGCGCTACGAGTTCACTGGTGACAGATAGAGGTTAAAGAATTTATTTTTTAAATTTAGCAGGAAAACTTCAAATTTAATTACAATAGAGAACACAAACGGCGAACTTCAAAGTGCGTTTTTATTTAAACCAGACAGGACGGTGCAGGGAATGACTGAGTAAAATACATTCATCAGAAAACACCGAAACATTTTTTTCATGTTGATGGGTTTTAAGAAATGTCCTGTCGACATGAAGACCACGAGCCAGTAAACCCGGGTTGTCCGCTTTTGAACACTCTGAAATAAAATGTTTCAACACATTGTTTCTTTCTACAAAAAAATGGTTTATTTACTCACGGCCGGACTCAACTCTTTAGAAATTGCGAGCATGATAAAACATAATTGAACACTACCAGGAATATAAAACAAGCGACGACCAACCAAATTAATTTGCCGATTCCATACGAGAATATATATGAAAAGATGTAGTTATAGTTAGAATAAAATATAATAAATTATATGGATATGAATGACCTATTTCAAAGAGCAAAGTTACTGGGAATGTCTGTATTTTTTAAAATTTATTGTTTTTAAAATCGTTTATACTACAAATAACGGTCTAAAAACAATCTAAATTGTGCATAATTGAAATAATGTAAAACAGAGGAAAGGATGTTGCATAAGACAAGCGGTCCAATACACAAAGTTGAACAAAAAGAGGGAACGAGACGTGAACAATTAGGAGCTGAAACATGTTATATATATATAGACAATCAACATTTTACATGATATAAATTACAACAATCACCACACGACTTAGCCACAAACACAAACAAGACACGAAAGTCAGAGCAAAACATTATTTTTTCTTGTAAACACAGCAAATTTCTCCAAATGAGTTTTATGCAAACATTGGTTGTAAATTTTATAATCATTTACCGGAAACGCATTTTAATATCCGACCTCAATACCTACTGTACATGAAGACTACTTAACGAAAAAATAATTCAGCTGGCACGCTACACAAATAAACATTCATGTTCGTAGATACCAGCAAATAGAATTTATTACACTAAGCTAACTTAAATCAAAAGAGCTTCGCAGATAGAAGACAAAAGAGCGGTTAAATTTTACCTATAAATCAACTTTTGTACAACGGAAATCGTTCAACAGAATTCCAGAATTTCGAATGAAGGTTTTGGTCTGCAATATTCCTCCAAATAATTGCAAGGAAATATATCCGGTTTGAAGTTGTGAGAGCAATACAAATAAACACATCCTCGGTAGATCGTTCAACATGCGCGCTTAATAATGTTGACAAACAATATGAATTGACATAAGTTAAAAAAAAAATCTCGTGCAAAAAAATACACGAGAATCTATTGAACCGTAATTGACAACCAAAAACTCACATCGGACACTCGTTGTGTAGAAATAACAAACTATTTATATTGTGATACATCAATAAAATATCAAATATTAGAGAAATGCACATGTATTCACGATCCTCGAATTACGAGAACTGAGACGAGTGAAAATGCTACGAGTCTTGAGTGCAGTCATGCAACACGCTTACTTATCTCAGTACCCTTAGTTGCTTCATTAACCTTCGTCCTTCTTATCTAATTTCATTTTCCGGTACATAACAAGTTCGACATTTTTTGCGTTCACTTTTGATGGAAACTTCTGACGCCAATTACAGCGCATAACTCCGTTAAATTTCAATATTTTCCTTAAGGGGAGCGTCTACCCTAAAATTGAAAATTTTCACTTATTCGGTTTTTATACTCATTTTAAAGCTGACATTCTGCCCTATCCAATGGTACCACTGCCATATCTGTACGTTGATTTATGATTTCACGACATTTCATGAAAGGGGGGCGGGTGGGGGAGTTCTTTAAGTAATTAGATAGGAACTAATTAGCTGCTGAGCTCTTTAAATATAGTGTCTACTCTAGTTGTGCTGCAGTTACGTGTTTAGTCTCATCTTAAAGCTGACATTCTGAGCTATCCAACGGTACCATTACCATCTCTGCACGTTGATTTGTACGTTCACGACACTTCATGAAAGGGGGGCGGGGGGAGAGTTATTTCAGTAATTATATAGGAGCTAATTCGCTGCCCAGCACTACAAATACAGTGTTTCTATGAGGTGTAGCTCAGTGTGCCTCCGGGCTTTGTAGGGAGAGGCACGCATGTAGTTGCTCCCATCATCCTTGAGTGGAATCAAGCTCCAGAAACGTTTAGTTTGGTATCTATGCTACATTGAGAGGATGAACATTTTGTAGATGAAGACCTCAAGCATCGAATGATATGTGTCTCGATGTTGTAGCTTGGAAATCCTAGGACTAGATCCATTTCTTCAGTACCCCTTATTATAGCCGTTTTCTAAGAATTTCACGTTTTCTTTCATTTTTTTCAAAAAATTCACACGAACAAAATGCGAGTTTTTTTCCATTTTACATATTTGTACCAAGTTTCAGAGTGATCCGACTGTAAATAGCCGAGATAATTTTTAGGGTAGACGCTCCCCTTAACAAACTTTTCCATTCACATTTCAACGCTTTAAATCTTATTTATTATTTATAATAGTGCAGAGGCACTCTTTAAATCCTCTGTGCGTTTTAAATTAAAACGGGAAAATTTAGCGACTTTTCCAACGTTAATTTTTGAATGAACGCCCCATCATGATGCAACCTACTACATTGCCAGCTCAGGAGTGCGATGGAAAAGATGAGTATGAATGGATAGGAGAAGAAAACGGTAGTTTCTCGCGGCTTTTCACGATAATGCACAGTAAATACCTTAAAATATATTCAATAAGAAAAATATATTTATGAAGACTTAAACATCACACCACATTACAATCCTAGATCAGCACACATGTTGATTTTCTTCTGGATGTTCTTGTTAGCAGTTTTGAATAAATATTTTGTTTTCGTCTGTAGACCAAATATTGGCATAACCTGAGAGATTATTTCTTCATAAGGTAACTTACCGAGTGTACGAGTACATATAAATAAAGCAATTTTGATGGATTGTGTCGTGTAGGAAACCAAATTTAACTTCCCTATACAAATTAAAGTACAAAGCTAAAGCTCATTTAATTCGTTAATTCAAAGCAGAACTTCAATCACTCACAAAGAAAATCTGATACCGTCACATATTCACTTTTAAAACAGTCGTAAGTAGTAAAAAATTATGTAAAATTGGCACAACTATAAAAATTCTGTAATAATCTTGTTAATATTAAATTTTACATTTTCATTTCAGAGAAAAATGCATGTCAGGAGCCTCGTCCTTTAGTACGGAAAATATGTAATCATACCGCATTATCCATGAGCAAACCAAGGCCACTTAACACTTACATTGTCTACAAAAGATGCACAGGAATTCTGTAAAACAAGGAATGCGCACAGATTTCACGCATTGAAAATTTAGCTGAAGTTTTCACACTGCAATCACAAGCTGATTATTGAAAATAATTTAAAACCAAGTTCTTTCAAAACCTTTCTCCTGATTATCTTGAAATTTGATTTTTTTAAAGAATTTCGCATAGTGTCGGAGCAAATTACCTAGTCGAGCTTTTTAAATTAGGTAACACCATTTGCACGCGGATTACAATATATAAATAAATTATAAAGGAACACTCAACACTAACGATAATTTTAAGGTATGAATGGACCATATAATTGTCACCCAGAAAATATGTGTCATATTGTCCAAATAGTGACCGCAAGAGCAATAGTGATATGGTATAGTATAGTATAAAATATAAATAGTGACCGCAAGAGCAAACGTTGCACTGATATGCCCTATAGCCGGACTAACTGGGTCAGGATGATCCACAAAAATCTAAGAGGTGTATCGCTATTTGGAAAAAATCTCGCTAATTTTTCAGAGTGAACAATAAATGTTTACAGAAGCCTTAGACGATAAATACAAACAAGCGACAAATCTGAAGACTATAACAACATCGACCATTCAACGACGATGATAATTAAATCATCAGGCGCAAGTTAATGATGCAAATGTTATTTTGTTTAAGTACTTATATCATTAGTCTGCTTAAATCGCAAGTTCACAAGGAATTTAAAAGCAAAGAAAACGCCAAGAAAATTCACCATATCGATATTGAAAACGTTTCGGAGTCCAGCTCCATCATCAGTTCGACTAAACTAAAAAATAAAATCACTTTAAAAGTCAAAATTCAAAGACAGACATAAAACCTAAACAAGACCTAACATTATATCGAAATAAACAGGACTAGTTATGAACAACTTAGTCCTAGGGGTACGACAAGAATATAAAATACAAGCTCATATAATCTGGAAATAGTAAATTGCTAGGATTTTATATTCTTGTCGTCCCCCTAGGACTAAGTTGTTCATAACTAGTCCTGTTTATTTCGATATAATGTTAGGTCTTGTTTAGGTTGTATGTCTGTCTTTGAATTTTGACTTTTGAAGTGATTTTATTCATTTTAGTTTAGTCGAAATGATGATGGAGCTGGACTCCGAAACGTTTTCAATATCGATATGGTGAATTTTCTTGGCGTTTTCTTTGCTTTTAAATTCCTTATTTTGTTTATTGATGCAGTCAACATTAATAAGCGGTCACTAACTTGCAATCACGTATCTAAGATCTGATAGCTATCATTCGTAACGCATTTTTAGCTGGTATGGAGTAATTTTTTAACTAAAAACATCAAGTTTTTAAGCAAAAAGTTCAATCATTCTTTTAACACGGATAAGTATGCAACAAACTCAGGTAGTGAATAAAAATTTTTAATGAATCAATGACGAACTCAAGTGTATTCTACGTCAGTTGGCTTCTTTACGATTGACCTGAACTCAAAGAGTCTTATAAAAAGTTAACAAGATGAAAAAAAGAAGCAGGAAGTTGTAAAAGAATTTAGTGTGCAGATACAAACAATAATTTAAAAAACTAAGTCGAGCGAAATTACAAACAGGTGCAGAAAGTAAAGATAGTTGATAATGAGTACGATAAAGGAAGAAGTAAAATACCGTGAAGAAAAAAAGCCAATCCAATTTTGAGGATACAGATAAGATGGTAATACTTTCTTGAGGATGCAGATATGCAAATATGGCGTTACCCTCTTGAGGATATAGATAAAGATAAGAAAAGATGGCTATACCCTCTTGTTGTACAGATAAGAAAAGATGGCGATACCCTCTTGTGGGTACAGATAAGAAAAGATAGCAACATACCCTGAAGATAGCCGTCCCTAAGGAGGGAAGGTTTGAGGTACAGATAAGTCTTGAGGATACAGATAAGAAAAGATAGCAACATACCCTGAAGATAGCCGTCCCTAAGAAGGGAAGGTTTGAGGTACAGATAAGTCTTGAGGATACAGATAAGAAAAGATAGCAACATACCCTGAAGATAGCCGTCCCTAAGGAGGGAAGGTTTGAGGCTGAAGCTGAAGCAGTCTTTGTCGACAGGAGCGCTCAGTACGGCGCGTCTAGACGCTTCATCTTCTTCCGCATCAACGAAGAGCCCTGCGACGCCCCTCAGTTTTATGGCTACGTCACACTTTATGGCTACGTCAAAATTTATGGTTACGTCATAATTTATGGCTACGTCACACTTTATGGTTAAGTCAACCTATATCGCTATACCATACTTTATGGTTGTCAACCTCTTTGGTTACGTCATACTTTATGGTTATGTCAACCTTTATGACTACGTCACACTATATGCTTATGTCAACCTTTATGGCTGCGTCACACTTTATGGCTACGTCATACTTTAGGGTTATGTCAACCTTTATGGCTACGTCACACTATATTTTTATGTCAACTTTTATGGCTACGTCACACTTTATGGCTACGTCATACTTTATGGTAATGTCAACTTTTATGGCTACATCATACTTCATGGTTATGTCAACCTTTATATCTACGTCACACTTTATGGCTACGTCATACTTTATGGTTATGCCAACCTTTATGGCTACGTCACACTTTATGGTTATGTCAACCTTTATGACTACGTCATACTTTATGGCTATGTCAACCTTTATGACTACGGCACTCTTTATGGTTATGTCAACCTTCATGGCTACGCCGTACTTTATGGTTATGTCAACCTTTATGGTTACGTCGTACTTTATGGCTACGCCGTACTTTATGGCTACGCCATACTTTATGGTTATGTCAACCATTATGGCTACGTCACACTTCATGGTTATGTCAACCATTATGGCTACGTCAACCTTCATTGCTACGTCACAATTTCTTGTTATGTCAACCTTTATGGCTACGTCACACTTTATGGTTATGTCAACCTTTATTGATACTTCATACTTTATGGTTATGTCTCTCCTTATGGCTACGTCATACTTCATGGTTATGTCAACCTTTTTGGCTACGTCACACTTTATGGTTATGTCAATCTTTATGGCACAGTCGTACTTTATGTTTATGTCAACCTTTATAGCTACGTCACATTTTATGTTTATGTCAACCTTTATGACTACGTCACACTTTATGGTTATGTCAACCTTTATGGCTACGTCATGCTTTATGGCCATGTCGCCATTTAAGGCAACGTCTTTATTCTTTAATACGTCATAATTGTTAGAAACGTCAACCATCATTTACGGCTACGTCATCATTCTTTGATACGCCACCATTTATGGTCATGACAACATTTACTCGATGTAATTATTTTCGGACCAACTAATTTTTTGCGGCATCCCCATTTCTTTTTACGTCACTCGTCATTTCTTCATCACTATTGACCACGTATAATTCATAGTTTAATGAAACAATAAGCATAATTCTCAGTCACTGACCCAACGTTAAGCTCGGTATAATTCAGCCCAAGCAGCGCACAGTAATAAGTTTTTTCTATACACAACATTAAGCTAGATTAATTCAAGCAGCGTACAATTAATGTATTACACTTATATACAACGTCAAGCTCAATTAATTCAAGAAGCGTACAATAATTTTAATATTTCTAGATCCCAAGTAAAGCTCGAATAATTCAAGCAGCGAACAATAACATATTTTTCTATATGTAGTGCTATTGTAGCTAGTATATATAACCCAGCGTTAGACGTACGTGAGTTGGAAACGTGATCAACCAGGCATATGACGTTGAAATAACGTTACTTATGAAGTTGTTTTTACGAAATCAACTCGTAATGAACGTTTTTTCAGCTTAATGTGGCTGTAGAAGAGTTAGAAAGAATTTCGACTTGAACCGAAAGCGAGCAGAATTGCAGAATTTAATAAGAACCAAAAAATCCACGTAGAGATGTTTATCTTAAGCACCGCTGAACGGGAAAAAATGTTTGGTTCTGATTTAGGAGACAAAATTGGAAAAGTAGCAGAATTTGACGAATAAATTCAAGTAAGATGCAAGGCAAAGACCATCAACAACAAGTGACCACATGTTCTGGCAAAGACCCTAAATATACCATTAGAAAATTTAGAGATGGAATATGTAAGAAAAAAGCAGGGAATTAGAGAGCACAGCTTGAAGAGCACATAACATGCGAAAAAAGAGCCACGTGGTTTTCCTGTAAATTAGTTAACTGGAATATACAATACTTCACAAAATATTTCGCAAAGCAGCGCACATCGTTGTTAGCCAACACGCAAAGTACAGAGAACGACAATTGTGGTCTGAAATGTAAAAAAATATTACTGAAAAATGAAAGATCGTCATCTTATATTTTTCAGTCTTTCTTCGACGACAAATCAAGATGAAAATCTAGTGCAACACTCAAATTTTAGTAAGAAATTCCTATTCCTTAAGGTCGCGTGAAACGCGCATAAAAGTAAACTAGAAATTAATATTTGGAAGCGACGATCAGCCTAAGAATATTCGAAAACTAAATTTTATTAAAGCATTTCAATAGTGACCGGTCAGAATAATTTTAGATAATTTTTACCTAAAAGTGGCGTGATTTACTTATCGAGAAAGTCCACTAAACTTTTACCAATTTTCTTATTTTTATTTTAAACGAAATTTACACACGCGCAAGATCGGTAGACGGAAGGCACGTTCGGTCAGGAAAATACGCTTGACCGGCTTATAAATTTGCCTAAATAGGCTATAAAAACAAATGTATTGATATATTTCTTGGCTAAACTTCATGTCCCGGAATTAATGGATGAGTCTATTACACGAAATTTCTCAGAAATTTAATGCGGGCAAAATGGCCCACAAGTGTCACTTGGCGGCAGAGACAAGGACCTAACCGAACAAATCGACAATTATGTTGATTTAATAAAAAATAATCATAATTCATTCATAATATTTTGTAATGTTCATAATTGGCTGGCAATTATATGTGAAATTATGAAACTCTAGGAATGCCTGATAATTCGAATGTTTACAGGAGGAGCAGAATTCTAAATGTAAATGCAGGCTGGATGATGCAAACAAATAGGATAGAAATTAATTTGAAAATAAAAAATTAATGGATAAGTAGCTTCGAGACATGTTTGAAACATAGGGACAAAAAAAGAACCATTGTACGTTCCCTCGCAGTTCTGAACTTTTTTGTTAGACAACAAGGCAAACAATTCTGCTTTTAAATAACATGGATTATTTCAATTGCTTTTAATCGTATAATGTGAAGAATTTTCTGCATGAGCTTCTCTATCGGTAGCCTTATCAGTTACAAGAAAATAAATGACCAAAATATTGGAGACTTCTCTGTTCAAAATGATGACTTTAATCAAAAGAAATGTTTTTGTGTTCACAAAGACAGCATTGCAGAACAAGATAATGAATGGAATACCTGCCGAAATACGATCAATGTTCTCTTATATGACAATTAAAGAAAATATTATCAAAAATAGTATAGACTATAATCGAAAATTGAGAAAATTGTGTTGAGCCGACTTCGTTTTACTTTAAATATCAGTGACCATTGCATCATCAAGCGATAATTAATAAAGGGAGGAAAATACACATAATAAACAGAATCAAAAGAACAACTACGATCTCAAGAAGTTACGTACGGGGAATGAATATTACAAACGAGGTGAATTCTTACCAAATGGCTAATCTCTGCAGACCAAATGATGTGGGTAAGATCGGCATCATCACTAGGGCCGTAATATCAAAAATGATTACGAGTTCGCCGCTCCGTTAGCCAATAACTAATGGTTTTTCAACTACATCCGCCAATCACAGACGAGAAATCGGCTGCTACGTGTACTTTAAACGCTACGTTTACTTAGGCGGATACGTGTACATAGGCCGCTACAAACTTACGTGTACTAAACCGCTACGTTTACTTTGGCTGCGACGTGTACATGGAGGTTTTAGTTTATTGTAATTTTTGATAGTACGGCCCCAAATAAACATAAAAAATACCTCAAAAAAATACAGATTCTTACCGTCACTGTTCATCGATCTGATGTCGTAAGAAGTTTTTCTGACGCTTTTGATAGAGCCACGTCCGTGGTATACGTCGGAGCTGAAGGTGCCACTGGGTGCCACAGTGGCACTGATGCCACAGCTGCTGTACACTACAAAGTCGCAACTTGTGCCGCTCGCGCTGCCTCTTCTGTAAGTAAGCAACTTTAAACTTGGGTGATAGTAGTTGCTTTAAACTTGGGTGCTTTAAACTTCGTGCTTGCATAAACTTGGTTTAAACTGCTTGGGTGCTTATTATGCAGTGACACAATTGAAGTTGAAAATATCACAACTTTAAATTGGTGACACAACGTCAAATTAGTCACACAACACAACTTTAAATTTAGTAACACAACAGACATGTTTGCTAGCATTGACTTATCGAAAACATTCAACTTCAAACTTGGAAGCAGTTACACAACTTGAAGTTGAAAATAAGACAATTTTAAATTAGCGACACAAGGTCAAATTTGTCACATAACTTTAAATTAGTAAGACAACAGACGAGTTTGCTAGCATTGCCTTTTTTGAAAAAAATACAACTTTAAAGTTGGAAGTTTGTACCAATATATTGTTGAAATTTTCACTTCAATTCTTGCTGAATATACGCGAAAAACTCAGTTGATAGTGTAGAATTTTTAATCTAATTGAAAAGCCATAAATGTTTGGCAATCCTGGAATCTCCGAACGCCAGTAAGTAATAGAGGTAGAAATTCAGTATACATACGAGTTGACCAAAAGCACACCTGGTATAGACAGTACCACACACCTGGTATATACAGGGACCACTTTAGACGGTAACTGTACGAGGTCTCCCGACTTCCTCCTACACACCACGACTCCCTCCCACTCGCGCCCGCGTCGCAGTTGCAGGTTAATTGCTTCAGAAATGTCGAGCCCGACCTGCACCACGGCAATAATATCAAGAATTTATTAATTCCCACATATTTATAATATTATTTAATATTATTAATATTTAAAACTTGCAGCAAAATGTTTAGGCTGACCTGCACGACGGTAATAATATCAAGAATTTATTAATTTAAGCATATTTATGATAATATTATTTAATACTAATAATATTTGAAAATTGCAGCAAAAGGATTGCTTAGCAATGTCGCACGGTCTAGAATAAATAAGACTAAAATTTTAAACTAAAAATAGACTGAAAATTTTTAAGCTATACTTTCACGGTTAATGGCCATTCTAACGCGGCGCATGATGTTAATTCAAGACAAAAATTACTGCAACACGTGGTCATTAATTAATTAACAATTCTCAAATAAATTCATTAATACCTGAAGAAATTAATCTTTATTATCGTAACCGGTGCAGACAATATGGTCTCCCTCGAGGAGAGTCTATCTTCCCAGCAACTGGCATGTCGTTAGGGCACGCACTCTATTGAAATATTTGAAGAATATTTCAATAGATATTAAAATATTTGAAGTGTAAGGTGACAACGTATATTTTAAATAGATTTATGCTTGATAATACTTTATCAAGAATTTATTAGTTACAATTTATATCAATAATACCGTTATTTGACTTGACACGAAGCTGCCTCACATTCGATTTTGTATTACGAAGATTCAACATCCGTTTGAAGGGTCATTTCCTTTGCAATTTTGATTAACTAAATTTCAAAGAATTTAATATTAATATGCGTTACCGGTATTTTAGACTTGACAATTTAGCAGTCTGCGTGTCAAATGTAATGCCCCACTGGAAACAAACTCGAATAGCAACACCAATAATTTAGACGCAAAGACAACGTCAAGCGAATTTAAAATATCTTCAATAAACACTTAAGGATGACTAACTTATGTCTTCTTCTTAAATAACAACACTCAACGATGACTCACTTTTAGTTCCTTAAATAATAACACTTAACTAACTCACAATTTTAACTCCTTATTCTGAAAAAAACACTGAACGATGACTCAATTTTGACTCGATCTTAAAAAAACACTAAACGATGACTCAATTTTGAATCTTTCTTAAAAAAATACTTAACGATGACACACTTTTCACTCCTTATTCTATACAAGCACTCAGTTAAGACTCACTTTTGACTCCTGCCTCTCGACAGGCCTATGGCCGTTGTTGCTAGACTCTTCCAAAGTTTCGAGCTCAGCCACCTTGGAGTCCCAAGGTTTGATGAGATGTTCAGATTTCCCCTCAAAATCTCGGTTAAAAATCTCTCCGGAAATACTATGCTGTTTTTTCAACTCTCCAGAAACACTTTGTTGTTTTTTCAACTCCCCCGGGACGCTTTGTTGTTTTTTCAACTTTTCCGGTACACTTTGCTGGTTAATAAACTCTTCGGAAATGCTCTCCTGTTTTTTAAACTCCCCAGTAACGTTTTGCTGTTTTTTCACCTCTTCCGAAACGCTTTGTTGTTTTTTAAGTTCGTTTCCCTTTATTTCCTGACGATGGTTGTCCGAACCATGCACCTCCCAGATGCTCCTGCCAAGCACGTCGTTCGCCGTGTAGCCTAGCAGCGTCTCGCACGATTTGTTGATAAACTACAACAAGAAAATAAATTAATGATTCGCATCATAATAGATTAAAGAAAAATAAGGTTTTCAAATCTCACAATAATTTTCATCTTTTAAACAGAAAACAAGGTATGTGATCACAGGATAACTTACATCTAATATTGAGGATAAACATAGCTGGCAATTATTCTATAACATCGTTGGGTTAATGATTGGATCTGATAGCTTGTATACTGTTAAAAAAAGGTGAAAAAAGGTCTGACCGGCGTTCTACTGGCCAATCAGACTTTTAAAACAAACCGTTTCGCCGTTTTTTTTACAAATGTGGAACGCACTTTGAATGTTAAATTTCGCAGAAAATTAGAAAAGACGGCAACACGGTGTTTTTTAAACGTTCCAGTCGGCCATTGTAATGTTAATAAGACCGTTTACGGCGATTTTTCGAAGTGTCCACAAAGCCACACCTGTATCCTGTGGTTGCTGTCAGTGATGTGCACAGCGTCTCTACAGCTGTCTAGAGCTGCAAAAACTGCTTGCATCGCACGCATCTGCAGCTGAGTCAGCAGCTCTCCTCTCTCAAGCTGCAGCAGCTCGGCTGTTACAACTGCTACGCTGCAGCTCTCGTTTACAAGCTGTAACAAATACTTGTATAAAGAGATCAGCTGCATTGCAATTTTAGGAGAAAACTTGCACGCAGAGATGAGCTACATAACAATCTTAACGTAAAGTTCTCAGATCATAGAACACTTCATGGCAAGAAAAATTTCATGTGTAAAATAATGCATATACGAATACGAGGATTAGTAGCAGGTGAAATTCAACATCATTGCAGTTCAACATAATCGCAGTTCAACATAATCACAGTTCAACATAATCGCAGTTCAACATAATCGCAATTCAACATAATCGCAGTTCAACATAATCGCAGTTCAACATAATCGCAATTCAATATAATCGCAGTTCAACATAATCGCAGTTCAACATAATCGCAATTCAACATAATCGCAATTCAACATAATCGCAGTTCAACATAATCGCAGTTCAACATAATCGCAGTTCAACATAATCGCAGTTCAACTCACCCTGTTGACTCCGCTCTCAAGAAGCGATACCACAGCGTCACACTCCTTCTCGCAGAAACTGTACAAAAATAACAATTGTTAACTTCACAGTGACAAGAAAATCATAAATCAAAAGCAGCCAAAATGACATTCGTATCCATCAAATTCACTTAAAAACATTCTTGAAAGAAGAGGCGACATTTTGAATTATTTCTTCAAACGAAGAGACGGAATTTTCCAGCACTAAAGCTACTTATTACATGCAATTAAAGCAAAATTTATGGAGGCTCAACATTATTATGAACGAAACAGCCTAAGCTTTGAAGGCTTGAGTATACAAGCGTTCATCACTCATTTAACGAAATTCTGAACTTTTGTGGATGCTGAAGCTTGTGTCAACAACGGAGAAAAGAACGCTAATAGGTAACGAGTTAATTATTTTGACCTTTAATTACAACTATGAAAGAGCTTTCTTTAATTTTTCATCGCAATTCTTAAATTGCGCGAGCGCTGAAACATTTCTCTGAAAACGGAGAAGAGTTCACCTTTATTCATAATGCTTTTACAGCTTTTTGTGAAGAAGCTCTTCACAACGAAATAAAATTTAATTTGATTTTAAATTAAAACTGAGTTTTTTTCACTAAGAGAATGATAGGTTGCTTGATCTCGCTTCTTATTGGTGCAATCTTAGGTCATTGATCTCATTTTAGTGCATTCTCATTCGTCTATTTTTTGTAATGATATTCCTAACAAGATACACTCAAAGAAATTATTGGCTCGTTGTCCAAAGGGCGATGCACTTTCTTTTCCCTTTTGTGAATCATACCTACCAAGTTTGGCCCGGCAAAAGGTGGTAACAGTTCTACGTCTGCTCTCTAATCGTGCAGTGATTAGAGAGCAGACATGTCAAATAAAAATATAACTCAGTACTAACTGCAGCGAGTGACAGAGAGCGTATTTTCTCGTCGACGAAAACGCGAAGTCACGGACAGACAGACGGACGAACATGACAAGCACAATAGCACCTTTTTTATATAAATAAGAAAAATGCGCTAAAATCATGTGTCATATCAATTATGCCCTATTGTCCCAAATAGTTGGGACAATATGGCATAATTTTTTCTGAGTGTATAAGCGATCTCACTTCTTCTTGACGACGGTGACGATGGTTGGCAAGATGGCGGCCTTGGAGGACCTGACCGCCCTTGCGAGGTTACCAACCACCAAGGTTCTGGGCGACCTGCCGTCCACCACCACCAGGTGAGGGGCCTGGGCGCCCACCTGCTTCAGCGCCTGCGTCACCAAAAAAAAAAAAACTGGTACTGAAAAAAAGGTTTTTACCCCGGTTTATTCCTGTTTTTTTAAACAATTTTGACAAATACCGGGATTTTAGACCGGGGTTGAAAAAAGATTTAAACCCGGTTTATTCCGGAGGTTTTGACAATTTTGAGAAATACCGGGATTTTAGACTCGTGTTTTCGTTTTTATTTTTCGTTTGGTTTAGGTTTTTTAAAATGGGGTATTGGGAAAGAAAACATGACAATGGGGTTAAAAACAGCTCAAAATTTCAAAATAAACGAGAATATAAGAGAACTGCTAAATTAGAATCAGATAAATATCGTATATGAACGATATGAGGGTGGCGTCCCGGAAAAATCCACATATTTCACATTATTTGTGAAATATCAACATTATTTCATTGCTAACAATGTCACTTATAAAAATTCGGCTAATTATGTATATAATATTATTTAAATTATAAAATTAAATTAATTAATTTAATTTCAATAACATTATTAATAATAAGAGCAACACGTCTAAAAAATAATTAAGTTATAAATCAAATTAAAATTTTTGATTATATATGTGAGTATTGAGCATATAATATAATTGAATTTTAAACTAAATCCAACAATAATATACGATTATTAATAATATTAGAGCATGAATGAGACGAAGTGAGACCTGATCTTGAGACGTGACCGCGGCGACCTCCATGCCGCGCTTGGCGCAGGCCTCCTGCCACGCCTCGCTGACGCCGTCGTGCCGAGGGAACACCAACAGAACCTGACAACAGGAACATGTCAGCAACAGGAACATGACACCTGCAGCAACGGGTCAGCTGCAGCAACAGGAACATGTCAGCAACAGGAACATGTCAGCTGCAGGAACAGGAACGTGTCAGCTGCAGCAACAGGAACGTGTCAGCTGCAGCAACAGGAACATGTCAGCAACAGGAACATGTCAGCTGCAGCAACATGTCAGCAACAGGAACATGTCAGCGGCGGCAACGTGTCAGCTGCAGCAACGTGTCAGCTGCAGCAACAGGAACATGTCAGCTGCAGCAACAGGAACATGTCAGCAACAGGAACATGTCAGCTGCAGCAACGTGTCAGCTGCAGCAACATGTCAGCTGCAGTAACGTGTCAGCTGCAGTAACGTGTCAGCTGCAGTAACAGGAACATGTCAGCTGCAGCAACGTGTCAGCTGCAGCAACATGTCAGCTGCAGCAACGTGTCAGCTGCAGCAAAATATCAGCTGCAGAAACATGTCAGCTACAGTAACGTGTCACCTGCAGCAACAGGAACATGTCAGCTGCAGCAACAGGAACATGTCAGCTGCAGCAACAGGAACATGTCAGCTGCAGCAGCAGGAACGTGTCAGCTGCAGCAACAGGAACGTGTCAGCTGCAGCAACAGGAACATGTCAGCTGCAGCAACAGGAACGTGTCAGCTGCGGCAACAGGAACGTGTCAGCTGCGGCAGCAGAAGTACTGAGATAATCTTCAGGTTCTCAAAAAAATGATTTTGTTCAAGTTCAATTAACAATAATAATTGAACTTGAACACAACTCAAATATTAAGTTATTTAAAACGCTCGCCTCACCTTCCAGTTTGGAGTCGAGAGTCTCATGGGGCCAAGATGGGCGGCTGATGGGTCCCCCTGCACATTATTGCACGAATTGTTGTTATATTTCCATAATTTGTTCTAATAAATTGCAGAAATTGAGGCGGAAAGGACGTTAACTCATGATATGTTTATTAAAGAAGCTATGGTCTTTTTTTATCCATGTAGTAAAAAAACTAGAGTGAGAAAACACAAGATATGTTGATAATGTGCATCAACGCATCACTATTAAATTTGTGTGATTATGTTCTACTACTCATCTCGATGCTTGTGTTACTTTACTCCTTGTGTTACTATACTCCTTGGGTTGCTTTAGAACTCGCAATGCTCCACGCTATACTGCACGGGTCCATGCTATACTGTACGGTCCATGCTATACTGTACGGTCCATGCTATACTGTACGGTCCATGCTATACTGTAAGGTCCATGCTATACTGTACGGGTCCATGCTATACTGTACGGGTCCATGCTATACTGGTCTCTTATACACATCTAGATGTGTATAAGAGACAGATGCTATACTGCACGGGTCCATGCTATACTGTACGGTACATGCTATACTGTACGGCTCCATGCTATACTGTACGGGTCCATGCTATACTGCACGGGTCCATGCTATACTGCACGGCTCCATGCTATACTGCACGGCTCCATGCTATACTGTACGGTTCATTCTATACTGTACAGGTCCATGCTATACTGCACGGCTCCATGCTATACTGCACGGGTCCATGCTATACTGCACGGCTCCATGCTATACTGCACGGCTCCATTTTAATCTGTGCGGTCACATAAAATCTCCAAAAAGTTATATAGGTGGCGCGGTGCAATCTATTGGGCTTGAAGGCAATTTGCGGTGAGATTATCCAACGAGATCAAGAGACTTGCAGCCTCGCTGATGCTCACGCAGCCACGAATTCCTATCTTGATTAGCAAGCAGATTAGGCAATTTCTTGAGCCAAGCCTCGCTGCCATTAAATGAAGATCTCGGGCGTAGCCATGTACGCAGATTGAATAAGGAAACTGCACTCGGAAGAAATGAGGAGATTTTGTTCAAATAGGGATGCAGTTTATGACCCTTGTGTGCGTCATCCTGGGCCTTTTTGGCTCGACATCAGAGTGCATCAGTGCTATGTGAATAAAGTGTGTCACTATTAAGACTAATTGACCCATTTATTTTTCTCAGAGTGCAATTTCCAAGTTGCAAAAATAATATGTCGTAAAATATCTTGATGATAGATATGGCTGAATACATTCTTGCAAGAAATAACACGATAGCAAGATCAACACATCTTTAACGGGATAAAAAAATTTAGAATAAATTTGCTTGCAGAACGTGACACAAGCGTGTCTATGCTTGGAAAATATATCAGTGACTTGAATTAACATAACCTCCATTGTCCTATCAAGAGATCACGATGCGGGAAAATTATACTTTGTATCTTTTTCTACTCAAAATGTTTTAAAATCTAAATATTAATAAAATATGTTATATGCTAATAATAACTAAAAAGTATCAATAAAATATATTACGTACAAATAGTAAAGCTTCTCACCTGAGGCGGCGTGTCCCATGCGACTGAGCGCACGACCGACAGACACTCGGGCACCGCAGCGCTGCCGTCCAAACCTGCAATGTTGTTTACACAGTTTTTTTATCCATGCAACGCAAGATAACAGTACGAACACTGATACTATACGAATAATATAATATAATAATTGTTATAATAATACAAAATATACTAGTCAAGTCTCACGCAAAGAAATGGGTGAGAGTTTATGAGAATAGCGATGCTCTTTTTGCCTCTGTGGGAGTAGATGTCTCAGCTTGGTTCGGGCGTCTATATAAGTGTTGGGTGCGCTATCTGGTCGTGCAGTAAGAAAGTGTGTCATTATTTTACACTATGCTCCATTCATTTTTCTGAGTGTGCACGTAGTAAAGTGGCCCTTAAACAATCAAGAGAAAGAGTAATATTTACATCAGAACATGACTAAAATGGTTAAATTAAATTTCCGTGTTAAATTTTAAATTCCTTGTAAACATTTACAAGGAGAGGCAGATCGTTTGGCTAAATGATGCCAATTTTTTTGTAACAATCAGAAACGAACTTGGAACTAATTAAACGATGCTCAATAAACCATATTATCAATCAAACGTTCATTAGTCCTTTTCACGTGATAGTAGACTCCAAGGTACGCATGAATAAGAAGACATTTAACTTGACCCATTCAACTTGGCCTTTCATTCCCTCAAGTTGACACGATGCTGACACGATCAACTGAATGAAAACAAGTTAAACTTTGATCTGTGTTGAATTCCATGAATAGAAACGAAGTTCTACAGTAAATAAAGACGATTAAATAGAGAATAGAGGAAATTTTCAGTAAATAGAGACGTCGTTTACACAAGAGAAGCCCCTAATGAGGAAGGAAACCCAGGGCGTGGTGTAAACAAATGTCGCCATACCCATGAGGGCCCCAACTGTGACTAGAGAGAGACAAGGTCTAACCGATTAGTTTGGCATTTTCTAAGCGTATTCTGATAAAGCAAAAACATAAGTTTTGTGAGCCGTTGAAAATTGTGAATTGTAGGCGAGGTCAGCAGAGGTCGTATTTACAAGAATTGTTACGAGTTCGTAACAATTAAACCACGCGACAAAATTTCTTCTCGCTTCGAATCACCGACATGTGGAACAGCCTCCCAAACGACATCGTTGGCGCTCCAAGTATGAACGCGTTCAAGAACAGACTAGATAAAGCTATGGAAAAATATATGTTCAGATTTGAAATGCCTAGCTCCTTATCGAACCCGGTGGAAGTCTAGTAGCTTCTTCAAACTATCGCCAGTCATGAAAAGATCCGGTCAAATGACACGAGTTTAGATTCTATGAACAAGGCACGAAATGGAAAAGAATCGGCGACAGGCCACATCAGGCCTACACTTCAGAGCCGACATCACTATGTTATGTTATGTTATGTTATGTAAGCCCGTCAGCAAATCACTGCCGGCTTATCAGACTAAGCCCGCCAATTAATATAGACGAGGAAGTGGCAGGTATGTGTACTTATGTACTTAGGCCGCTACGTGTACTTTGATCGCTACGTTTACTTAGGCTGCTACGTGTACGTTGATCGGTACGTTTACTTAGGCTACTATGTGTACTTAACCGAGTTTTGAAGTATAACGGCCTCGGCTACATACTCACTCCATGCATTAAGGTGTCTCCGGAAGCAGTTACAGAAGACCATGCTGATGAAGACCTGCTGATGGCTCGACATTCACTGCCGTTCATGACGATATTCACTACTTATTTCTCGTCATGCAATCACGAATTATTTATATGATAGTAGAATAATGTGACTTTTAGCACCGGCACTCCGAATAGTCATGACAAAAGATATCAAAAACATTTCGAAACACGAAAAGATACGAGAATTCGATGGAAAGTTTTCAGATCCCATACATGTACTACGTCAGCAGTTGATTTAATTAATGCATTTCGATCAACATATTCTTGATAAACTTTATATTGACTCTATATTGAAACAGGTTGCAATTCCTCAGCTGACAACTAACTCACCACAATAAGATAAAGGAAATTTCATGGCTCTTACAAGAATCGTAAGTCTGAATATTATTGACACTGTGATCACGGGTGAACAGCTTTTCACGACGACTAGGGTCAAACATTTCTAAAGTTTAATTCTTCAAGTCAACACATTCTTCCATCACAAACCAGGTAAAATATCAAAATGTACATGTCATTTGAAGCGAAAAGATCGTTATGCAATAGCACATCTGTTTGGAATAACGATTAATCAATGGCAACAGCTGTGATGAAACAAGTGTCGCCCGCTCTCGACCATGGTCTATATACGCTTATGAATTATTCCTATAATACAAATCTGTATTCAAACTGCTAACGAACACTATAAATACCAATTTCATTATGTTTGATAATGATGTGATTCATAGACCTATTATCATTCAAATTAATATTGTATTCATTTATCGGTATAACTTGGCAGAGTTGTTCTATTGTTCTAGATTTGCCTAGTGTAAATTTGTACAGTTAGGTGTCCATAATTCCATGGCATGTTCTTAATAAACTATGAGTTTTAATGACTTAAATTAATTTCTTTACAACAGAATGACCGAGATTAAGGGGACTGAAACATATAATTCGGCCTGCTTATATGAACGGAGAGAAAATACCACTCTGCATCAGACAACTAGAATTTTTTAGCTTGCAAACACATAATGCAAGAGCACCAACATGGACTTTACTCGTTCAGACTGTTACGTGGCCAAAAAAATTTTTTGTAATGATCAATTGGCGGAAAATCCCAATCAAATATAGGTGCGAATTACATTGACGATCTTAAATGTATCAGAGATTAAAGAGCTTAGTCTATTCTGATGTAGCACTGGAACACCAATTTCTCTACGTGATCCCGGTGAAAAAAAAGAACCTAATTACTTAAGTTGTACTCGCTTTCAGAACGTTCCCCCTGTTGGAATTTACGCCGAATTAAATTTCTTATAAATTTATAGAATCACAATGAAATGCCCCGCGCAAACGTGAAATTTATGCGGAAGCTGTAATGATTCTTCATGCCAGAATAACGCAATGCATGTGATGCAGGCCATTTTTAATAAAAGACATCGTTCGTATATGAGATCATCAAGGCACTAATTTTCATTACAAAATTCATCTCACGCACACAAAATTCCCCACCGCAAAGTCGAAGCGAAGCATCTAAGTGCCCTAAAACTATCGGTATCCCTTACTTCCACTTACTTGGTTATTCAACTGGCATATTTACCATTAATATAAGATCGTTTGAACAAACAGGATCCAAGCGGATTTCTGCTCATGTAAGGCAATTGACGTCTCGTTGATAAGCTGATATAAACCTTATAAATGCATAAAAATGCGATTATTGGAAAGTATTTATTGTATCACGTAACTGCTTAGAAGTTTAGAATTAAAATAATTTCTGAAAATAAATACAAAAGCCACACTATTGAAGGAACGCGCTCACGCTTCTTACTCATATTTTTTAAAATGCAATTTTTTAACGTTGACTCAATTGGGCCCACGTGTGACGTTATAGTAATGATTCCATAAGTCATAATGTCTCCACGAATTAAGATAAGACATATTTTCTTATAAGGCATCAAGTAATTAACGAATGTTTCTTGCAATTAATTATGTTATTCAAGACGAACTCATACAGGTACACATTTAAACGGAGCCCCGGTTCACCATACTGAAATTAAATTAGAAAAAATCACAAACCAATTCTCAATTTTCTTTTAGAGAAAATGAGTTTTATTACGTTTAATTCCACTGTTATTCCAGTTAACCACACAAAGCAGCTTTATTTAAAACAATAAAGCTAGACAGGCTATACCATTTGAGCGGCACAAGGCCGATCTTAGCAAGATGGCAGGCGCACCGCGCATCGTCACTCACTTGAGATAAGTTCTGCAATTTCCCAACTATCACGCAAGTGCATAAAAATTCATTATCAGTCATAGGGATCGATAAGAGAGAGATAGCATCACTTGATAAGCGTATGATCGAGCAGGGCCATGAACAAGTATATTACAGCTAACCGCTTTTCTTAAAGCGCTACCCATTAAATAAATCATTACACAGACGTTAATTTTCAGAGATTTCGTGAAAACAACAAATGCAGTGAAAAATATATTGGTAAGTTAATTGAGTTAATATTATTTATTCAGAGCGGGAGTATTCAATTATTAATTGAGAGTAGAAGAAACTATTTAACAAAGATATACATGTATAACAGCACGAGCTGTCATACGCCCACGACGTCTAGATATAGGCCCACAACCAGCAGATGATAAAAAAAATATGAACTACTCAACAAACGCGGCCATGCTTGGCCGCATCTCATTTGAGATGCTAAGATTGTGAGTTGCACGAGACGATGACCATGACGTTTGGATTTTCGAATATCCTAAAAATAATCGTAACACTTTTGATTCTCTTATATTCTGATGACCAGCGTAAAACTAACACAAGATTTGAACAACTGCGGTTATGGAGAGTGGGTTTAATTATTAATTAACAGCTTTGGATGGATATAAAAATTATGGATTGAATCATGTATTTAAGTGTCATGGCGCCAGCAATCCAATTAAGCACAAGATCAAGCCACGCATAAATTAAAAACACCCGAAAAAGAGAGACTAATTTTGGTCGAGAGCCACGCCTGCGAAACGCCTCGCCTTCCCTAATAAGCGGCACGGAGGTCGCGATGCACACGCTTGCACTTGTACACTCACAGGAATAAGTGGCTCGTTGTTCAAATAGCGATGCATTTTCGGACCTTGTGTTGGTTCATCTTGACTCAGTTTAACCCGGCTAAATGGTGTATCAGTGCTACTTACAGGAAGTGTGTCACTATTTGAACAATATGCCCAGTTCGTTTAGCTCGTGCAACAACACTTTGAGGTTAGATTTCTGTTCATGTGAAGTTCTGTGCAGAAAAAAAAATAATGTTGTCAGCGATACATTTTTAACGTTACCCATATAAGTGAAAACCAAATCTTTTATGGGACTTTTAATTTAGCAAAAAAGGAAACAGATTTTCTTT